AATGAAAAAATAAAAATAAAAACAAACAAAAAATAAATAAATACAAGATTTTCATTTCCATCACTTCAACGACTGAACAACAGCTAATGAAAAAATAAAAATAAAAACAAACAAAAAATAAATAAATACAAGATTTTCATTTCCATCACTTCAACGACTGAACAACAGCTAATGAAAAAATAAAAATAAAAACAAACAAAAAATAAATAAATACAAGATTTTCATTTCCATCACTTCAACGACTGAACAACAGCTAATGAAAAAATAAAAATAAAAACAAACAAAAAATAAATAAATACAAGATTTTCATTTCCATCACTTCAACGACTGAACAACAGCTAATGAAAAAATAAAAATAAAAACAAACAAAAAATAAATAAATACAAGATTTTCATTTCCATCACTTCAACGACTGAACAACAGCTAATGAAAAAATAAAAATAAAAACAAACAAAATAAAAACATTATTTTTATTGTCAAAAAATGCAGCAGACTCTACTTTTGTCTCATTTAACCACAGCAAACAGACCATAAAGAAAAGTCACTACTACTTCAACTATGCACTTAAATAGTAAAAATACTTTAAATGTATTTTCTGCTCTTTTGGGCTCTTCAGTCTAGACACTTTCAGCTTGTTGCATGTTTTTCTAAATGGCAGCAGCTGATTTGAACACCTGCTAATAACTTTAATGGGAGTCATTTGTCTGTGTTTACAGAGTCGCTGCACTATTAGGCTCTTATTGAACGGTGTAAATATATTACAGTAATAACACCTTTTAAAGTGTTCAAACCTGTAAAAACTCAAACTATTCCAGGGAAGTAAATATAATTTACTCTGTTATGCAAGTTTTCTTTTCATCATAGTTGATCCATCTTCCTCCCGTTTTATTTTTGTACTCAAAGCTTCTACCTGYTCTTCGATCTTTTTCTAGTCTGAGCCTGTCAGAAGCTTGTGATGCCAACACATTAACCTCTCTTTGTTCATGTCACAAAGCGTGCAACCGCCTCAAGGGCCACAAAACAAAGATTACCTAGTTATCCAGGTTCGTGTTAACCATAAACAAGTGAAAGTGCACCTGCCTTCTGTATCCCCTTAATGATCTCATCACAACTACTTCTTTTTTTTTTTCAGTATTTGATTTGCAGAACAAGTCAGGCTTTTTTTCCACCCCGACCGCAAAATTCACCTCTCAGCCAAGCAAAATCTACAAGCTTTAAAGTGTCAAAAGCCAAGTCGAAATCTTCCTCCACTGGGGCCAAAACAAACCAAAAACCTAACATGAGAACTGCCTCTCCTGCACTGTGGCAACACAATTAGGCTCAACAGGAAGCGCAGAGCCAAAGAAACGCCAGTTCTGTCTAGAAAATGTTGATCGGGCCGAATGGCGGATTCTGGCTGTTTTAAACC